ATGCCGGTTTTCTTTTGTTATGCCGTCTGGAGTCAGACGTTGGCTCATTTCAAACACTATGTTGTTGATTCACCTTTATACATTCCATGTCTTTGATATTACTTTTTATATTGTCCTGGTACTTCATAGTTTTCTACACTTTGATTGCTTTGTATTCAGGAAAAATACGACGTCAAAATAATAAATAACCTTAACCGACGGTAATGTAGTATGTATGAAAAAGCAATGATTTTAAATAGTCGAGTAAATTTTTTATGACCGACCCCGTATGTCTCTTGTTTTCCCATGGTCCTTATAGAGGCTTACTACAGAGTCTTTTGGAGATCCAGGGAAACTCGCAGTCAAACTTGAAGTGTTTCCGAAGGGGTATGATTACAGAGTAAAAGCCTTTCCCCAAATAGACAGTGTATCTTTTGAAGATTTCATCCCCTATACCAAAGGAGAAGGTCGTTAGAAGTTTTAAGGTCCTCGTCCATTGGCCCGCGCCAGACGCATCGCATGCACAGATTAAACGCAGCGCTATGTAAAATCATACACAGCAAACTAAAATACGTTGCGGTGCGTGCGTGCAGTGCGTCCGGCGCGGGCTAATGGACGCGTACTTTTACGGTATTGGTGAGAATATGTGATCTTATCTTACTAATATTATAAATGCAAATGTTTAGATGGATGGATGGATGTTCGTTTGAAGGTATCTCCGGCGGCTGCATGGATCTCGCTGCAATTTGGCGTAGATGTAGAACATAGTTTGGAAGAACCCATAGGCTACTAATTAAGTTTGATTTTAATACCGCGCGGACAGAGTCGCGGGCGACAGCTTTCATAATAAAGGTAACGCAAACAATAAGTGAAATATGAAGTAAATAAATGTGTTTATATAAAGTATTATGTGAACATTTGTATAAATATAAGATAAAGTAGACAGCGGATGCGTATGTTAAACCTCCATAAATAAATAGCACAAACACATAAAATTATTCCTCCGTAAAAATGAATACGTTTGCTCGAGGGATTATGTTAAAATGTGATCCTTTGCCGGTTGAATATTATTATGTTTAGAGTTAAGAGTATAATAAACATTACATTTAAACTGTACTAAAGATAATTTTTATAGCATGAAATAGGGTCTGTAATTTTTTATTTTTCTCAATACATCAATCATCTATTTTCGTGGACCTTATTCAAGGACAAACTTTAAACTTAGTTGGAATAATCGTCTACCTTAGCTCTACAACCTTTTCGAGCGTTGGCTTAGTACAACAATTTCTTATTCTTTTTTTTTATTTAAAAAAATGATAAATTATTAAAAAGAAACATAAAAAATCTTTCATATAGTAGTAATGATAAAAATGTATATACATATTTATTGTTATAGTGACCAAAATAATTTAAAGATTAATTGCTACTATATTACTAAAGCAACAGAGACAATTTTAGGGTTGCTAGCGACAAGTAATGGCTTACATATTCATTAGTAGCACAGCGCGTATAACGTATCATGAATTTGCATACAAATATTGCATGAATGGAGACGAAATTGCATTGTGCAGACTCGCAGCTCATTTCCCTTGCTTGTTTTAACGTTCACAATAAACTATTTCAATTTGATGCTATTTAACAACTCTGCTACTGTCAGACATGACGTATGTATGCAGTGTGTAACCGAATTTATGTTATATTAGCTATCCACGTAGAATTATAAAAATTGGCCTATAATATGCCCGCGTACATCACCTTCTTCCCCGACAAAGTCCCGTCAAAGTCAGTCTAGCTGTTCCGGAGATTATCCGGAACAAATGCGGTTTTGCGAACAGACTGAGAATTTTTTTTTAAATTGTTTTGTTGGTCAGCAACGCAAATACATCATGGATACGTAATACGATTTTTTTTTTCGATGTTACATACCGACACTCCAATGTTATTAACATGTATAGATTTAATTAAGTACTAACGTTCTCCAGGGTGATAAATAAATAAAAAATTATTTTTTTATGACGCAACTGAAAATATGTGAAATAATAACCTTCAACTAAAAACCTTTACTCTACGACATACTAAAGTAAGTTTCAACGACTTCTATAGTCAAAGTTTGCAATAGACAATTAAATATTTGAGTAGAAGAACCTTTGTCTTGTCCCTAAAACTTGATTCAAACCTCTTAATTACATAGGTTTATTACAAGCGCTTGTTTAGGCCGAATGAGTTTCGGGATAGCTACGGCCATAACAATTTACTACGAACACTCCCTCATAACGTTCTTGTATCAAAACAACATTAACATAAAGAAACCCTTACGATCGACTCGAACAATGTCTTTAAATTAAACGGTGAATGGATTCTAAAGCCATTGTACACTTAAACCTTGTCCCAGAAACAAGGGTTCTACAAAGATTGAACCATTTTAGCAAATCTATACTAGATAGAGATAATCTTGTAGAATATATTACAATACTAGCTGTCGCCCGCGACTCCGTCCGCGTGGATATATAAAAAAATAATAATAAGTGTAGCCCAATCATCCATCCATCCACATCACATCCATCTAATTATTCACATTTATAATATTAGTAAGTTAAAACAAAAGCAGCTCTTCAAGGCATAAATTCGAATAAAAAATGAATAAAAAGTGTCCTATGTCCGTCTCCATGCTCTAAGCTACCTCCTCACCAATTTCCTGCCATATCGGTAAAGCCGTGCTTGAGTTATAAACAGTGTAACTAACACGACTTTCTTTTATATATATATATATATATATATATATAGATTGAACATATTTTAAAAATTAAATGATAATGAAGAAAATGATTTTATTAAAACAAGCTTCAATTTGATTGCGCTGAAACGAAAAAAATCATTATCCTATGCCCACCACAGATTCTGGTTACAATTGAACGACAAGTTACTCATCAAAAGGATTACAACGAGACCCAGGTCGATGACATTAAGTCATTCCAATGTGGTCATAGGAACTTCGAAACGGAACGTGGAAATAAAATGGAGCTCGATCATCAGCTCAGCATCATGTCATCATAATATTGCATTGCAAAATAATTTAAGAAGCTATCTATCATTAATCAAATAATCAAATTTATTTTACACATTAATTAACTATAAATAGTACTTTAGTTTAATGCTTTAATATATTTCAACCTAAATCTAAGACCTTAGTTGTCTTAGAAACTAAGTACGTAATTTGCATAACAAATTCAAAATGCGCGACGAAACACTTCACTCAAAATTTGTAATGAGACTCCTTAAATCTTCTCTGGTTTGAATAAATTCACTTCTATCTTATTCTCGCTGTAACTTGCAAATTTCTTGTATAATATTAACGACTTAATGGAAGGATATACGTGATTGCATTACGCTTACAACAAACAGTGCAAACGATGCCCGGTTTCTATAATAGTGACACTATAATTGTCTAATACTACGTTTGAGCAGCTCAGTTGGTTTATGTGAAACTGACAGCAGCAAGAAGGAAGACCATTCTTAAATCGGCTCAGTCTGTTGCCGACTAGATGCTCTTAGAAAGTGGCTTAAAGCTAGAAATGGGCGGAAGGACGCATACAGTTCCAATCGGCTGCGCCACCGCATCAGAATACGTCACCGAAGCAGCTGGTCAGAAACTCTTATTGTTTCAAAATAAATAGATTACTCTTGCTCTTAAGAAAATAAGAGATTAATAAGGGCTAAGAAATCAAGCGTACCAACATTTGAAGCGAACTATATCACTCGCAAACTGAATTATTAACGTGTGTGTGTAGAACTGCAAAGTTGGCAGTAATGAGCGAAGTTCGCTCGTATTCGATTATTGAGCTATGTAAGAATCAATTATCTATAGAGCCTTTCTCAGGTCTCTGTGGTTCAAGATAGTTAATTAAAACTCTTCACTGATATAAGTTGCCGTAAACTTTTAGATAGAAACTTTGATAGTTAATTGGATAGAATTAACGATACCTGTATTTACTATTTATTAACTTTATAAATATTATTGTAACATAACCAATATTTTTCATTTAGAATGCAAAAAACAACAACAAACAATATTTCAGCAAAATAATAAAAATGCAGCAATTATTTTATCAATAAAACAAATGGTCATAATCCATCGCATAACATTTTTCAGTCCGTTTTTGGATCATGTCAATCTAATTTTAAAAACTTCTATAAAACTAAATCTCGTATTCAGGTTCCACCGAGATTTGAACTCGGATCGCTGGATTCAAAGTCCAGAGTGCTAACCATTACACCATGGAACCGTGTATATAAATTATAAAATTTAAAATATGTAAGTATTCTGTACGAAACAATTAAATAACATAGCTAAAAACCTTCATGAATTCAGTCCATAATCTATTCTCATCTAGATAGATCGCCTTTCATAATCTTACTTTTTATAGACATTAAAGAACATTTTCTTTAATTCATAAATTTTGAAATGTCCTTACTATAGATATATTTATTAAAAGATCCTGGCTTCTAAAACGATTACGCATGCTGTCGAGGTTTTCCCTTTTCATCAAGCGTCACTAAGGCAATGTGTAATGTTACCATCTGACCCTTGACGTTACCTACAATATGTTTCACTCTGAATTATTTATGATGTTTGGTTTGTCTGTTGAATAACGGACGGAAAGTGAAGGCATTTAATTCGTACTAGCTGTCGCCCGCGACTCCTTCTACACAGAATCAAAAAAAAATGTTTAACTTATATGTTATTCCAGACTATGTGCTATAAGTATGCTTAATTTTATCGAGATCCGTTCAGCCTTTCTTAAGATACCTTCAAACCATCCATCTGTCTAAATATTCACAGTAATATTAGTATAATCTAGTTAGTTTTGGCAATACGAGTACATCAGTAATTAAGAAAAGAAACAAGTTTTCGTGGATAGTTCAAAGAAAATTTAGTTAAATAGAAATGTGTAATTTCTAAGTAAGTAAGTAAGTTAAGTAAAAAAATTGTTTTTTGTAATTTTCTATAAATAAAACAAAAGTGAAATAAAATGATATATTAAATCCAGTTACACTTGATTGAAATACGTGACACTTTTTACGATCAATTCAAATTTACAGTTTTTGCTATGAAATTCAATAGAAACAGGACTAAATTAATCAATTTTGGAAAATCAATAATGTGAGAAAATATCAAAATTATTTTCTGTATCGTTAGCTCTTGAATTAAATCTATATCTGGAAGATCGAGTCCTGGAACATCTACTTCTGGTAAATCCGGCTTAATAGGTTTCTTAGCTTTTGTACCATTTAAACTATTAATAAAGTATATCATCATAATAAAAACGACGAAACGAATCTGAAAAAGAAATTGATTTTAATAATTCGCCATTCTATTACAATTTTTATTCAAGTCATGTCAATATACCATGTAAGGACCGTATAGAAGAGGTCAATGACCCTAAAGAATTAAGAAAAAACAAGTAGAAAGAGAAAGAAAAAGAGAGAGAAAGAGAGAGAGATCCTGAAATAAGATTGCAATAAGAATAGTAGAGAACTGGATGTAAACCTAAATTTCCTTTACGTTATGGCATTAATATATTTTTTTTTAGAAACTGCCAGCAGTAAATGGCTCAAGGCTGAAGAAGTAGATGTAAAAATAAAAGACTTGAGCATCTTCAGGTTGATAACAAATTTAGTATTTTTAGTTGCATTTTTTTTATAATTCGTCTTATAATTTTGTAACAATACGTCGTAATATCACTTAAATATCAAACAGAAAAGCCACTTGTTAAATACAAGAGAAATCTTACCTTTGAAGTCATTTTTGTCTTTAGAAATATAATATCTTTTTCTTTGTATTTTAGGCGCAGACTTAAAACTAATGGCAGGGTGACACCACAACTAACTTGTTGGCTTACACGATAACTTGTCAAATAAAGTTCACTATACAGTTCAAATGACAGCTGATAATTGCTAATTTTTTTGTTAAGTGATAAATTGTTTCGATTTAACTAAAAGAACAATTCATTCGGATGTTCGTTTCCTTTACGTAATGTTAACGATAATAAGGGATTGGGAAATTGTTATGTTTGTGTTTCTTCATTAACGTGATGCGTGTAGTGTATGATGTAAATAAATATAAAATTTAGGCGCTCTTTTGGATGATTTTATGAATAATAAGTGATTCGTTTTTTCTATACAATAAAAAGTAAACTTTTGGGAACCGATGACAGTATATCGTAAATTGTAAATTATTTTCTTTATTTTATAGTTAAACTAGCGGACCCGACAGACGTTGTACTGTCTACACGTCTTTAATTTGAATAAATTAATATGAAGTTAATATTTGATGTTAATTGTGAATCTAAACCATTCCCAGATCCCCTTGAACACACACAAAAAAAAATCATCAAAATCGGTCCAGTCGTTTCAGAGAAGTTCAGTGACATACACACGCACAGAAGAATTATATATATAAAGATAGCCTTTGTTTTTGCTACTTTTAGTGCTCAATTTACGCATAAATATGCTAACAAATGTTCAAAGTAGTATTTTAACTAGACGTCGCACGTGACTCCGTCCGCGCTAATTGAAAATAAAACAAAACTAATTAACCTATGTGTTCTTCCATACTTTAGTCTATAGGTACGCCAAATTTACGCCAATATAATTTATTTTACGCCAAAAAAAATCATCACAATCCGTTCTGCCGTTCTGGAGATACATACGAACAAACATCCATCCATCTAAACATTCGCATTTATAATACTAGTAAGATAATCTCTGATAACATATAATTGCTATAAAATACTGTAAAATCATTCCAAAATACATTTCGTGTGCTTCAGTACGTTCGTTTATTAGATTGGTTTTCTTAATATCTTATAAGATGGGAGAGAAACGTAAAATGAAATCACATTACGTCAGAATTCTCATTCCTTATAATCCTACATCGAATGTAATGCGTTACATATGTCGCTAACAACCCGCGTCTATTGAATAAGATAGGATTATGTGTATTTTAACAGTGGTAGAGCCCGCTTTAACATCTTCGCACAAATTGGTGAAATATCACCAGGCGAGCCGGGCCAATTCGTGCCAATTCGTGGTATTCCACGACCACACAGAAGACAGGCGTCAAGTGGAAGCAATTCCGCGTTTCGTCTGATGAGTGTGTGTCCCGGAGGCCTAATTTAGTCCTCTTTCCCTTCCCACCCTTTTTCTTATAAGGAAAGGATGGGAAGTGAAAGTGGACTTTTCGGATGAGAGGATGCATGGAAAGGGAAGATATTAACTTTCTGTGTAGTCTCTCCTTCGTCGATTAAAGGTAGGCAACGCAATTGCGTATGTCTATGGGCAACAGTCACTTCGCTATTTCAGCGATTTCAGGTGGCCGCTCGCTCGTTTGCCACCTATTGATATAAAAAAAAAATGTTAAATTATAAGGAATTGCTAGTAACAGAGTGAAATGACCTGATCAAATTGAGTAGCTTAAAATAATGTTTTGTATTCTTAAAATTATAAAGCCTTATTCCTTTTCGGCATGAGAATTATTAATTATAAATAATTTATCTTCCTTTTTGTTGGAGGCACGGGTAAGGAATTGATCCAGCAGTGGATAGGCAAAGGCTGCTTATGATGATGGCATTCTTTTCTGCAAAGTGAATCGTCAGTGATGACAATAAATAGATGGGGAAATATGACACAATGTATCTTTTCCTCTATTCAAAAAATATAAGAAATGTATATATTATGTTAACGATATATAACGTTGTTCGAGATGTCTATTAGCCACGAAAACTTACCACCAGATGACGACACACTCGCCTTCTTATTAAAAAAAACTGTGTTGACAACATTTCTTAAAAATAATTCGTCTTCTAACGAATATTTTTTATACACTTTGACCTTAAAACCTTCATTTTTTTTATCCGTCAACGTGTCCGTGATTGATGAGATATAAAATGATTCTTCTGCTTCTCAGCGTACATGTTTCGAGGTTACAGTAAAATATCTTTTTTTTATTTATACGAAAAAAACATTGATATAAAAATTGCAGAAATTGTAAACAATCGGTACACAAAGCTTGACATGTTTAATATTTAATTCCATCAAAGCTTTTTTTAGTATTTTATTTCAACAGAGAATTATGAAATATAAAACCATTTTCACAACAATAAGCAGTGGAATGAACGTTTCATCCAGGATAAGCTCACTTCACACGATATTCTTTCTGTGGCACATACAACGTGCTTTGTACTTAACTCAAAACTTATACAACACAAAGGGTATTGTAATCCCTGTCGGAATATTTTAGTGCTCATATTTACATATTGCTCAAAATGAAATATTTTGGGGTAATTTGTTTAAATACTTGTTTTTGATGAAACTTTGATAGCTTGTTCTGAAAACACCAGAGAAGATGTCCCAAAAATCATTGCCCTGTGACCTTTGACGTTTTTATTATTTAATCTAGCTAGCAGCCGGGATTGCGTCCTCGCGGTATTAAAATAATAACTTAATTAATAGTCTATGTGTTCTTCCAGACTATGTTCTACATCTGTGTCAAATCTTACTTAGATCTGTTGAGCCGTACTGTAGATGCTTTCAAACAAACTTCCATCCATCTAAATATTATTATTTGCATTTATAATATTAGTAAGATTATTAACCTAAAATCGTTAAATAACCCTATCATTCGTGTTTCGACTGATTTTTGCCCAGATCACAATAGTACTGAATTTAACAATTTCTTAAACAAGAACAAGTATACGTATATACGAGTACCAAGAATACGTGCAACAATAATGAATGTTGTATTTGTAGGATATTTTCTGTACAGGCCGTACTTTATGATTTATAACCCTCAGAATAATTTATCAAGTTACGGAAGCTAACTGACGAGGACGTCGTGTCTGCCGCCTGTCGCTGCTGAATTATGTACAAACCGTCCGTCTGTATGTTCTGAATTATTGCTTTTTGTTATACGTAATGTGCATTTATAATATTAGCCTTTACAACTCACTCATTAAACTTGCTTAACTTATAAACCTAACCTGAACAGGCTCTGAAAGTAATGAACCGATTTAAAAAATTCTTTCACTGGTGGGAAGCTACAGTATGCCCAGGGACGAAGACGCTTGCATCTGATATCTTACTAATAATATAAATGCAAATGTTTGGATGTATGGATGGATGTTTGATACTAGGTACATATGTATACTACGGCTTAACGGATGTCGATGGTATTTGGCTTAGATAGTTTTTTTAATGCCGTGCAGACGAAGTTGCGAACGAAAAAAAAATGGAACTATAGTTGTTCCAAGTCAGTTACAAATGATATTGAATAATTACGTTTTCAAATATTTTTTTGTTAACTGTATAATTTCATACGTAGTTAATATCGTTTCTTAGACTAACGTTCATTTTCTTAAAGATAGATATTCTAAAGGAAATCTTTGAAGTTACTTTCCAAACTAAATAAATAAAACTACAGCTCATTTAAAACTTCCAAATGAGTGATTCCTCTAACGAGAAGTTAGTGCAAAAAGAAATTTACTTAATTTCTCTCAATGTAAGACGCTCTTTTCCTAGACCTAGAAATAACTAATAGAGTTGCGTAACGACTGGAAACGTCACTTTTTATCAATTAATTAAGAAAATTAAATGGTAAATTATTAAAAATTAACGTCACAAAATTTTGGACGAAATATTATATTTCTTGTATTAATTTTGTTTAATAAGTTAATGTAGTACAACGGAAAAAGAACGATAAAAATTTGTATTTTATGAACATAATTTTTTAGACCAAATAAATTCAATTATTCTTTTATTTTTTCTACTATTCACATGTTATTATTTGTGCTAAAATGCCATCTATGTATTTACTTTTGTAACCAAATGCATAATTAGTATGTTGTTTTACTTATAGATGGCGTTGATTCCTCATTTCCATAAACCCATAAAGACTGGAACAATCGATTTGTTATCAATGAATTAAATATTGGTTTTGTAATTTTCATCAAACAAGGAAATAAAAAGAAAATAAAAGGACTCAAATCAAACAAACGATGCCGTTAAAACAAAATATATTTGTTATTTCACTTAATCTTAGAAATATTTCTCGAGCGGTTCTCCTAATATTTGTTCCAGCTTTCTTATCGCTTCTTTTGTGGAGTTTTCTATTTTAGGATCGCCATCTTCTAATAATTCTGCTAAGAATGGCACACTCTCAGCGAGGAGCGGCAACCAGCTGCTGCCGAGTTGAGTTGCCATGGCAACGAGACAGTCCAGCGCTGTCAGCCTGGAAGAAAATATGACTTCAAATACATATTTCAAGAACAGAATTACCTTTTTAGGAAATAACAAACAAAACCGAACAAAAATGATTAGATTATTTAAATAGTCACTTTGACTTTTCAGTAAAAGTTATGCAGTTAAAATCTTTCAACTTATCCAATACTAGCTTTCGCACGTGACTGCGTCCGTGCGGAATTAAAAATAATTGATAAATAGCCTATGTGGTTTTCCAGACTATGTTCTACAGAGGAGTAAATTTCACCTAGATCCATGCAACCGTTCTGGAGATACCTTCTAACAAAAATCCAAAGATTCGCATTTATATCATCAAATATTTTACCTGATCTCAGCATCATTATGTCTTGTTTTCAATAAAACTTGATAATTTAACAACTTCCATAGGGAGTCATCTGCTGTAGCGACCGCGAACTGTCCTATACAAGGTATTATCAACTCTGCTGCCCTTGTCTTAAGGTTGTCAATGCCTCCGATCGTATTCTCCAATTGATCTACTACCGGCTGCATTAGCGTTTCAAATCTATCTTTATTGATAAAGCTTTGACTGTCATAGAGGAACACAACGTGTAGTGTTTTTATAATATAGTTAACAAGACTGGTACATTTCTCTTCTGAATCAAAGAATAATTCTTCATTTTTACTATTGTTACACGCGTCGAGTAACTCTGCAGCGTTCTTGATAAAGTGACCAGCAAATAGAACAAATAGACCCTTTAATTTGTCAGCTATAGCACTGCTGAGTCTGAAATTAAAAAAAAAACAAAATTAAAATCTTAACATACATGTATACACTTGAAAATAGCCATCAATCCATATCAATGATTTTAACATAGTTCGAAGGACTGTTGTAGGTACTTTTAGGCATTATTAGTTACAATCCTTTAGCGCGCTTTCATTACAAAGTCAAGTGTCAGAAAGAATAGTGAGGGGACAAAACATTTTAGTAAGGCTAGTGTTGCGCCAGTTCACCGGCAGTGTCGGATTTACTTCCTAACAGTACAAAGTTTATTAAAAACTACACTAACCTGTAGAACGTAATTGTTCTGTCTTTATGTCCGTCAATATTAGTCCTTACTGCCCAGTCATAAATCTTAAAATAGAACGGTCTGAAGTTGGTTTCAGACAGTTTGAGAACTAGGCTCACTAGTGCATTGACCACTTCGTCTTCAGCTTTGTCGATGACGTCAGCGTCTACGTCTTTATCCACTGCATCACTTCGCAATTGTAACGCCGATAAGAAGAATGAAGTTAAATCTTGTTGGAGCGCCGTGAAATCTGCTGCAGTCACATTACCAAAGGAATCCGCCAAAACAGACATCACAGGAGCAACAGCACTGTAATTCTCTTTTTCAATAATGATATTATAGGTTGCGTTTGCTATAGGTATTAAAACCCTGGGCGGTATAGAACTGGCAATTTTCTTTTTAATATTACCAAGTTTAGACACAATGGTCGAGACTTTCGAACATTCCTGATCGTAACCATCCCATTTCGCAAAAAGAATTGAGTACTCGTACAAAATCTTCAATAGATACGGACTTAAGAATAAAGGTAGACTTTCTACGATCTTAGAAATAGCAGTCACCGTACTTAGTAGCACCAGTTCTTGAACATCTGATTTTCTCTGCTTCTTCAACACTTTGATAAGAGCTGGCATGAATTTACGAAGGCTCACTAAAGCGTGCGCTTTAAGGTTTCCACACAATTCTGCCAAACAGAGAACAACTGATGCCATTACATTGCTACTGATGTTAGGATTACAAGTATAATCTGTAACAATTTCTAAGACCGGTTTAAATGGTTCAGGATTGTCCGCGGCTAGCATCCTAGCGAGCAATTTCAAAGATAGTAGTGCCGTCTGTTGGTTTAATTCCAACTCTTGGGCGGCAATTTCACTCAAGGAATCATTGTTCGTGTCAATAGTTTTTACTATATCCAGTAAAGCTGGCAGTAAAGAAAATAGCAATTCCTTGTCAACGTCGACAAACATTTCTGGATTGAATTGTATCTTAGAATTCAATAATTCCATCGACTTTCTCCGTACTGTCTGCAACGTGTACTTCAGCAGTCCCCGAACCACAGACAAGAACATAGGCGCCGATAGCAAGTTATTAGTATGATCCAATAAGTCATAGCTATGGTGCAGCATTACGCGCCAATATTTGGCCGCTTTATCGTCAGTTATTTTTGAAATAGTTTGAATGAAAGTTAATATATTTATTATGAATGATTTGTATCGTTCTTCCATAACTTTGTCATCTGTTGTTTGGCTGCTATGTTGAATGAATCGCGAGGAAGCTAAGCATGTGTTCATGAATGTTATAATTACGTATTTGTAATGACGCAACTGTATGGGCGTGTGTCCATTCACACTGAATATGTCGCCGGGATCGACATCAGTATCCATTGAGTTCTCATCTTTTTGTACCGGCAAAGATTTTATGTAAATCATTAGTTTGATAAAGTTTTCTAAACACACCTCGGGAGGAAATTCTAACAATATGCTCTGCCCGAAGTCGAGTCTAGTTACTGGAGATTCCTGATCTGCTAAAGTTCTTTGCGATACCTTATCTTTTTTCTTATTTTCATTGAAATGAGCTATATGTGTCTCTAGCAACAGTGCAAGGAACACCCACAGGAATTGACTGGATCCGAGTGTTTCTATTAACTTCTTGTACATGGGTAGTCTTCGGTGTTCGGGGACGTGTAAAACAACGTCGGCAAATATACGTAAGACTGGAACGACGCGTTTTTGTAATTTTTGAATTTCCTTGTCCGAATAGTCTTCGATATCTCTATCTAGTTTCACTATAATCGGTATCAAAGTTTCAATGATTTTTGTTATTATTTGGAAACTATAAGCATCGTCGTGCCTCAAAACTGACGATCCCATAAATGTAAATATTTCCATGGTATGATGAAGCACTTGTTCAGGCAACATGTACGCTGCATGAGACAGTAGAATTAAAGCGTGATGTTGCGTTTGTGGATTCTGCGTCCCTCTGATGCACTGGACGACCAATTCTACATCAAACATGCTCTTCAATGAGTTTTGTTGGTCCTTGTCGGTGTCATTAACAAATTTCTTACAATAGTACCACAGAGAAGACAAAATAAGTTGTTTCGTATATTCAACGTAAGATTGCTCCTCGAATCGCAAACATTTGTTTAACAATTGAAACAAAATAGAAACGAATGAATTGTCGACGTTCATTTTCTTCTTGTTCTGTACATATTCTAACATCGTAACGCCGAGTCTCCATTCATCGGTTTCTACCAATTGATAAGAAAGCATAGGTACGGAAACCTTTTTCTTTTTAGAAACATTAGCTGCTGGGTCTACAGCGTTAAGCATTCTTTCGAAAATCGGCTTGAAATCGTTAAAATCTAGGTGGATTTTCTTCATCAATTTAGAAGCAGCGGAAGAAATATTTGGATTGCCACTGAATGCACCAGCAGACGCCACAAGACGTATGAAATCTTTAGTTTTTTCTTCAGGGAACTTTTTAAACACGTTCTCATCAAATTCCTTCATAATCAACATACATGGACTCGTCATTACTTGATTTTCATCTAAGATACACTCCCTATATTCTTTTAATCCTATTTCGATGGATTTCCATATTTGTTCTTTTGCAAAAGTAGTCACAGTTGCTTCATTAATAAAACTGTAAACTAATCTAAAGAGATTAGATTCGTATATATCAAATACAATTTTCCGGTCTGTCTGTTTCAAAACTTTCTCCAAGGAATTTAATGATGGAATCAAATTAGGGTAACTATTAGCATTGTTCACACTGGCTAATATTTTAACCAGATTACATTTTATGTAAGATGGCGTGTCCGCAATTAATATGCTTGTTAGTTTCAATAAACAATTCTTTCTAAACATTTTGTTTCCTGGTGTCTGATGAGTCAATATCGTTTTTAAAACTTGTTGAATTTGTTCAGGATCTATTAGTAACTCGTCCTTGTGCGCGAGAAGTTCTTTTATCAATTGCACGTATATTAAATTCTTATCCGGATCATATCTGAGCATTTTATTAATCAAATCAATAATACACTCCCGTATTGCAGTTAATGGATTGTTTAAATTAAAAAGTATTGTCACTATAAGCACATCGGAATCATAGATCCATTTAGAATTTCCTTCTATAGTTATATAATTAATAAGCAATTTCAAACTTCTCAATTGAAGTTCTGGATTGATTACGTCTTCTGGGTCGGTAGCGAAAAGAACATGCCCACAAGCAATATTAGCTACGAAATTAAATTTATCTCTTGAATTATCAAATAATTTTCGTAATAACATCTTCAGTAGAACAACATAATTGTCCCCATAAGTCGGAATACCACAACCGGTAAGGAATAATTCATAAAGTTTCCTCACAAAAACTGTTTCCGGGGTTTCACAGACATTACACCATGGTTTTGAGATATATTTTACATTCAACTCCTCGATGAATCTTTTAAAAATATATTCCATGACTTCAAACACAATTTTGTTCTGCTTAGAAATTTTTATAAACTCAGGAATAATTTCAGATGAGAAACTTTTTCTTTCCAAAGTTGATACTATAATTCTTGTCTCTATTGATTTTAATAACATTTTCAATGTACTCATTAAATCTTCAGTTGATGCACTTTTAGATGAACAAGACTTTAAAAGCATATAAAGATGAACTTCGAGAGTGTTTTCTTGGTTTATAAGATTTAAATCTAAATAATCATCAAAGGAAATTGCATTGTCAATAAATATAACTTTATAAATCATTTGATTTAAGATTTCAAAATTATCAGCAATAGAATCATTTGCTCCGGTAATTTTTTTAAAAAGTCCAAACTTTTTACCCCATTGTGAAGTTATAATTTTCCATGTGATTTTAGCTGATTTTTGATCATACGGAAACAAATACGGTATCAAAGCCAACACCGTCTCTTGATTAACGGGCATCGAATCTAAGGCGCAAAATTTTACAATAGCTTTCTCCGTTACATTTTTCCACTTCTTAGATTTATTCGTTATTATATTAACGAATGTATTCGTTAAATCAATATCATTCAAAACTTCTCTTAGACATTCATTTGAAATATCTAGAGTAGCTAAAACCACATCAGAATTATCGTCATTTAGTCTATTTACGATAGATTCTTTTACAAATTCAGCATTTTCCACTTTCAAAGCTTGAAATTCTTTTGCAATATAATTGACAGCTTCTGTTCGCAGTTCCGGGTTGACATGGTTTAAATTTTCAAATAAGTACGCTCCACTTATTTTATGGGCAACCGCAGGTTTGAAGCCTAACAACTTTGACAATTGTGATCGTCTTACAGTTGATATATCACTATCTGAACTCATAATACTTTTGACAACTTTGTCAAAACTGTCCGGATACTTGCGTTCAATATTCTTAAGAAAAATAGAATACCAGTTAAATATACTAGGATTCATGTCAACATCTTCGTCAATTATTTCAATGTCACTTCCATCATCAACATTAGGACGGGTGTTCTGAGGTGGTTTGAATGCAGTCAAAACACATCTGGAAATAAAAAGTTTTAATTTGTGTGTGTAGATTTAACAAATTAAATTTTTACTGCATTATACTTTGATAAGACAAATTTTATTTTTTTAATTTTATGACAACATTACAAATAATATCCAACAATTACAAAAATAATAGTTAAAGACATTAATTCCTATTTATTTTATTCTTATGAGAATAAGCTATAGTAAATGATTTTATATTACTTAAGTTCAACTATAGTTCTTCCTAAGTATATTTTTAAATTTATATTCTCACCTGATAATAGTTTCAGGATCCTGGTCTTTTAAGTCCACTTCATCAATTAAAATTTCTGGAAGTTCAGAAAATCTTTTAAACTCTTCTATATCTTTTTGAATAGTTGGTAAAACTCGCAATAAGAATGCTAGCACAAGTGATTGTATATTATTCTTCTTCTTTGTTGACAAGAATTGTAAATGTTTACATAAGTTGCTCATAACATTTCCCGAGATGTTATTGAGCATTTCAGCAGAGAATTTTGTAAGATGTTTCTGGTATTTAAAAGTCATTACAATCAATAAAACAGATTCGTAACTTAAATCATCATCAGTAGAGAGCAAACACTCTAAGATTTCATTTAGAGTTTTACGTTTCAATGTAGAGTTCATACAAATAAAGCCATATATAGTGTACGACGCAGCTCGGAAATCTTGTACAGTTGATTCAAAACCTTTCATTATAGTAGGTAATAATGCATTGATGAATGCTTCATTAACAGATTTCATTGTATCTATAACACCGAAAGCTGTAATCGCAAAAAATCCAAAAACAGTATTCAACTGTGTAGCTCTCTCACCATAGACCTTTACATATTTTAAAATCATTTTTGCAATAAACTGTAGGGTACCAGTATTAGATACGCATTGATTGTGCAATGTTTGTTTTGTTAATGGTACACCTTTCTTTTGTACGGATCTCAACCAGTTCCATCTATTTGTATTACCTTTAATAGCCAATAATTGGAGGAATCTTATAAAAATTTTAGTTTCATGGTACGGCAATATAAGCATCATGATCGCATCTTGGTTATATTCGTGGATATGATATCTATTTACTAGCCATTCGAGTGCTTTGTGAGAAGGTTGTAGAAGAAAATATGGTGACAATTGAAGTAAAAACTTTTCTATTGTTTGATCTAAATTATGATTCACTTCTTTAGTTTGTATGGCCCTTTCGAAATCCTTAGAAGAAACACTGAACAATGAATCTTCGTATACACGAAAACCTTCGAATAAAGCTGTTAATTCCTTTAGACCGCTAACACCTATTTCATAGAAAGTTTCCCGGTCTTTAAGGGCCGCTTCTCTTGGATCAAATAATAACGATGCTTTCTTTTTGTCATCTTTATATATAGAGGATTGTGGTGCTGCGAGTTTTTGTAGTTGTTCTGCTAGAGATGTGGAAGCCATTATTTTCGGTAGTTTCTGTAATTCAAAAATGATCACATGTAATATGGCTAAAAGTAACTATAATTGTTTAAAAATATTTTAGTTCAACCTACCTGTCAGTCACAGTAATATAATTGTTTATTAATTTTTACTCATATCGAAGATCCCACGTGCAAAAGCAGACTTTGGCACGTTTTTATTTATTTGTGAAAACGATTTTAGGTTACAACTCACGTGAATCGTGAATGCATGTTTTAAAAGATTTGACATTACAAGCTTAGTGCTGCCCTATAAAATTTCTCATCATCTTACCACTTATAACCAAATTGTATTATTCGGATTTTTTTCTGTGTCTTTAGAATCCCACAAAAGATAACATGTCACATCTCCTTTAAAACACCTTAAATTGTAAAACAAAATTTAATATAGTACGTTTGGACCTGTGGGGACTTGCCTTGCTTTACAGATTGAACACTGATTCACAACCTCACAACTAATATCTGGTATGGTAACATTCACGGACCTCTACTAATGGACAAGCTTTGAACCTTAGTACTTTGTGCGTATTTGATTGTCTTCATTTTGATGGTTGCGAGGTTGCTGTCAGTGTCGTAGGTGAGAATTTCCACTATAGCTGGGCCTTCAACGGTTTCATAGAATTCAACGATTAACTGGCAGGAATTTGGTCATGTCAGGATCAGGAACAGGCACGTTTCAGCAGCCACAGGCAATAGCTGTCATTTCCAAGCAATGAGCAATAACCTATCCATCCATTGCATTGACTCTGACTATGACTGACACTTCAATTTCAGTAAACAATGCAATTTTTACTTTTACAGAATGTAATATAAAATACATAATAAATTAATGAACTAATTTATATGGAAGACTCAAAGGACTAACTTAGATCTACCTTTTGCCCCCCGCTAAATGATAACAAAATAAGGGACATTAGTGTTCTCACGGTTATACGTATTTTTATGCGGTAATCTATTTTCAAGGGTATTTAATTATTCGAGGTCGATTACGTTAAACAGCTGTTTTGATAAGGGTACGTAGAACGTAATTAATTAACAAAACAAGACGTCATTCATATTGTTATCATAGTATAATTATTGAAGTTTAATTCGAGTTAGTATACTGAACAGCTAGTGCAAGTGATGATTTCTTTGTTCACAGTACAAACAAAAGAAAGACGCAAACATGTTCTTGAAAATAACTTCTGCATTTTTACTATTATTTATCACTTTAAGTGCAAGTTATAAACCAGTTGTTTTAATTCATGGCATTATGACGGGAAGCGGGAGTATGGAAATTATTAAATTCAGGATAAAAGAGGTAATTTTTATTATTTCAATATATTATGTGAATATTACAAGTCATCCTAAAATTATAGTTTGATTATAGACTAAGAATGTGCCAACCATGTTTGCCAGACAAGATTTGTGCATATAAAAACCAGAGATTTCTAAAAAAAATGTTTTCTTAAAAAAAAGTTAAATTCGATATTTTAAAATTCCTTATTATTTCAGAAACACCCTGGTACAGTTGTATATAATGTAAATAGGTTTGAAAGTTGGTCCAGTTTAGAAACAATGTGGCATCAAGTGTTGGAAATTGGTCTAGATGTGGCCAACATCTCATCCAAACATCCAGAAGGTATTAATATTATAGGTAAGCATTTACATAGTTAACTATTTTTTTACAATTTTTTTTATTTTATACATATTATTTTTAGTATTATGCATTTTTTATATATAATTTCAGGATACTCACAAGGAGGTCTAGTTGCGAGAGGTATCATACAAACTTTTCCGAACATAACAGTGGATACTTTTATATCTTTGAGTTCACCACAAGCTGGACAGTATGGAGGTATCTAACTTTATTTATTAACTTAATACACAGACATAAAAACTAAGTACAGACTATTTGAATAAACACCTGTCTATGGGTAAGATTTTCTAAAAATTTGTTTTAAGTGTTAAATTAATCCAGAAGTAACAAATTTCATTTTATTTTTAATAACTGTTATGTATAATGTTTATAAATAATTAAAGAGACAAATTAAATTGTTGAAAAATCACAGAAAAAATGTGACATGGAAAGCAACTAACAACTAATCAATTTTGATGACTGAGGTGACATATCATCCATGTTTCCGGAGTATTTATGAGTGACATCAGTCCTGTTTCTTTAATTAATTATGTTATTTAATATTTTCAGCTGGTTTTCTCCATGTTGTGTTTCCTGGTTTGGTTAAGGAGACGGCATATGAGCTGTTTTACTCCCGTTTGGGACAGCACACTTCAGTAGGCAACTATTGGAGAGATCCATATCATCAAAAGCTTTATGAAACATACAATGTGTATCTACCTTATATTAATAATCATATCAAGTAAGTAATTAAGAAATTATTTTTTTATTTTTACTTTTGGCCATTTTCTTTAATAAAATTACGCTCTCACGTTTGTTCATTAGAGAGAGTTTATTTGGATTTAAGTAAATGTTTTTTCTTAATTTAATATGCAATTGGAACTACAAAAACTATTGAGGAAATGGACCATAATTTGATTTGTCTTAGCAGCTGGTTCCATGGTGTAATGGTTAGCACTCTGGACTCTGAATCCAGCGATCCGAGTTCAAATCTCGGTGGAACCTGACTTTTTGTAATTTTTTTTTGTTAAAGATATTTCAAATTTTTAATTAACTTATTTGTTTTGTTAATTGAATAGTGTTTTTTTTGCTAATAAAATTGAAATAATATTTTGGGAAAAATAGTAAAATGGACTAAAGAACTTACTAATTTTATTATAATGTAGATTATTTTATTATTCTTTGTTATTAAAATATTATTATTTGTATATAGTTTAGATAACCTTGGCTTATATTTATCTGCGTCATTTGATTATTACTTCTTTTGAAATGAGGACATATCATACGTCATAATTTAAGATAAATAATAACGTTTTTCTTAATCTTATCTATAATATTATAGATTGATCTATGTTATTAAAATTATATATTTTAATAATCAATAAAAATAAGATTTAATAATTAAAATATTTAAAATGTATTTTATTACCGAGAGATTAGGTTATATTTGGATTTGTGACTTAACCATTTTTTTTCAGGAACTGGCAACATTTTAGTGTTAAATTTCAAAATAATATAATCTACAATAAAAAGTATGAGTACTAATTTCATCGTATAAATTTAACTTTTTTAATTTTAACGTTTATTTCAGATCTAAGAGATCCAAAGATTTCAAGGCCAACTTGTTGAAAGTCAAACGATTGGTCCTTGTTGGTGGTCCTGATGACCAAGTTATAACACCATGGCAGAGCAGGTATGTTAACATAATTATTTTAACTAGTGATCGTCCATTGTTGGAAATCAAAACTTTTTTTTTGTTTAAATAGAAGCAAAATCTTTTTAGTCCTTTTCGAACGTAAAATTTGACACAATTAAATTACTTTTGCAGAAGTATTTAATGCATAATAATTATAAATCTTTTTCTTATTAGGTTATGTTCAAATTTCGACCAATAAGCGGTCATCCCTGACGTATATAAATGGACTGGTTATAAGACGTAGTTTTTTGTGCCTATTTGATATTCGCCATTTTGTGGCCGATGGTTGCGGTTAAAATGACTTTTGTTTGTTTGTTTTAACTGATTATGATCGAATTTCTATGAATAAAAGTCAGCTTCTTGTTTTTCAATTGATTTAAAGTTAAATGTTTTCAACTGTCAGCCAATTTGGATACTACGATGGTAATGAAACTGTGGTGGAAATGAAGAACCAGGATATTTACGTGGAGGATCACATCGGGCTGCGTTCACTGGATATGTCTGGTCGTCTGCATCTCCTCACTGTGCCAGGAGTCAACCACTTCGATTGGCATATGAATGTCAGCATAGTTGATGATTTTCTATTACCCTACTTAGATTAAACGTGTCCCAATTTTTATGGCCACCAGTGTAAAAATTAATTAGCAATTATTAATGTCAATAATCAATTTTTTTGAATGATTTTGTAAACTAGTTATTAAAATTTTATCTTAGCTACCGTAACGAGTCGTAATATAATATAGTGATATTAAAAACGGGTTTAAAACAAGATGGCGGTTGAATTTTTGGTATTGACATTTTAATTTTTTTTTAAATTGACTAGCCATGAACAAAAATGAGATTGACAAATGTGATATTTACATTAATAAAAGTAGCACCAAAGATCAATCATCGAGTCTTTATATTATAACATTTAAAAATTAAAAAGCCATATTGAATCTCTTATAATACAAGCTTCTTTGAACAAATCTCAGTAATTAGTTAGTGTAATTTTTTTTCTTCATTAAGAATAAGTAGGAGAATTTTTTTTTATTATCGCGAATTTACTTTCGTTAGATCTGCGTACAAAATAATGTAATTAATTACATTAATAATATGTAGTTATGGTAAAAATGTATAAAAATGATAAGGTTTTAATGTAAAATATTGTATAGCCTGTCCAGGAATATAAAATACCACGCCATGTTGCGGAAAAATATTTAATTTCTTTGCGATGTAATAAAGAAGTCGGTTGTGGAGCTCCTAGGTACGGATTTTATATTCTTGGTTAGTCTGGTTTTCATTTTATAATCACTATTATATTATTTTACTTGATTTTTTAAACCAAAATTAACTTTTTAAATTGCTTAAACATTTTTACATATTTAACATACCCTTATGTCTTACATTTTGCTCTCTTTTCTTTGTTTTTTGTATTTAAAATTATATGTTAAGAGGAATTACAAAAAAATTGTAATTTTTGCTCCGGATCTTTTTTTATTAAGACAGCGCCATCTGTCGATAAAACTATGAATAATTGTACATGATAATTTGAATTCTGTGCAGTTACAACGTTTTTTCCTTGCTTCTTTGAAACTATTTGTATCTGTGCCAAATGTTCTTGGCACAATATTATATTTGAACTAAATGGAACCGTATTTTAAATTACGTTTACTCAGTAATCTTTGTTTTTCTACGTAAAGCTTTGGTTTTGTAGAATTTTGTATCACAACATTTATCTTTTTCTAATCTCAGGAATTACTGATCTGATTATTTTATTTATCGGACAGCCCAGTTATTATTCGGTTCCACTTTTTTTTTTATAGAAATTCGTGACAAAAGAAACAGCTAGTCTGATCTTGTTTTGCATGCTATATATAATAAAAAACCTGGTCTCCAATAAGTTATGTCAAACCCGCAAACAAAAGAATCTGGCTTTGTTACAAATTAATTTATAACATACTAGCTGTCGCCCGCGACTCCGTCCGCGCGGGATTAAAAATAGATGTTGGCCGATTCTCAGACTTACTCAATATGCTCACAAAATTTCATGAGAATCGGTCAAGCCGTTTCGGAGGTGTATGGGAATGAAAATTGTGACACTAGAATTTTATATATAAGATTACCGTTGCCGTACTCTTTCCCGCGACTATGTGCACGCGGAAGAAATAAATCTAGTAATAAAAATAGTCTATGTCACCCGGAGATCGTGTAGCTTCCCAACTGTGAAAGAATTTTTCAATTCGGTTTAATATTTTCAGAGCCGTTTGCAAACAAACAATCAAACATTTCCTCTTTATAATATTAGTATATCGCGTTAGTATTTTTAATATGAAGTCAGATTATGAATAAGGTTTTACTCATTCGTATAACTTACCTTAGTTTAATTCAGTAACTCATTATGTACTGCATACGTAATATACTTTGTAATCAGAAATAAAAATGATTCATAATAGACGCGATGTTTCATACTTTTCATTTTTACTACTTAATAGTCAAAATATCTTTTAACATTTACATCTTCACTAAATATGTCGGAGCAAACGACCATGGGGACCTTCGTACATACGGCAACGTAAATCTTTAAAACGCGGCGGGTCTACCCAATCCTGTAACAAAGAAGTTACAGTCAGAGCCGAGGCTCCTGAGGGAGCCCTCCAGCCTTGTTACTCTTAAACGTGGCTTATGCTAAGTGCCATCTACGACCCGGCCACATCAAGCCCGATGAAGCTTTAAATGCCTCTTCAAGACAGTGACTACTCTAAAAAACCGGCGAGTTTAATTCTTAAGCGACTTACCCAATACGATGTCAGAGGTTCGTACACAGCGCGCGTAGCCTACTTTTCTGTCATCGCCAAAGACCGTCCCTCGCATCCTGTTTGTCAAGTTCGTCGTGAGAAAAGTCGCTGCAATTTTCAAGATGGCGGATATATAGTTGACATGTAATAGTACGGAGCGTGCAATGCGATTCTTGCAACCATGCAATATTAGTTTTGACAATTTACGTTGCCTTGTTTACGAAGGACCAAAGTCAGGAGTATATAACGACTTTAAAATTATTCTAGTGTTTTTAAACAAACATTTTTAATTGTAATATAACTCGATAAGTGCCAACACAATGTAATTTAGTAATAGCGTCAATTATACGGATTTTTTACATCAATAATACTTTGTTTGATTTAAAAAAAATCCTAAATATATCCTAAATTAGCTGTACCACACGTGTGACTACAGTCACACGGACACAGTCTGCGCGAAATTAAAAAAAACAACAATCAGTAGCCTATGTGTTCTCCCAAGCTATGTTCTACACGTATTCCAAACAGCGAAATCCATGTAGCAGTTCTGGATATATCTTCCATTCATTTCTTACATCCATCCATATGTTATAAATTTTATTTTAAAAATAGATAACTCATACAAAGTACTGTTTATTAAAACATCCTGTATCCTACGAAATTGTTTTAGTACAATTTAAAACAACATTTATTTATAAATAAACACATATTTTTTTTTCTCGTATCTTTACAATAAAGCGAAATCTAAAATTAGATTCCGATATCTTGTCTTCTCAGAAACGTACGTAAACATATCAAAATGTCTTAAATTTAATCTCTCTATCATTGAGAGCAATGACAATGTTACTTCTAAGAATTCGTCATAAAAGTAATACGAAGAAAACGTTATCGTAAGAATTGTTGATAATATTGAATATTTTGAATACCTTATATAGTCACAGATCAACTGAAGAACTTCAAAAATTTGTCGAATATACAGGAGGGTCTTAAAATAAAAAGGATAACATTAGTGTCTTACAATTCCCTTACTTTTGGACTCTTCGATCTACTCTCTCTTCTTTAAATGTTCCCGCCACCGAAACACTTACAAAAACATAATATTTTTTTTTCATAAAATGTCATCGCAACTAAAGATGTGTGCCTTTTAAATAAATCAATAGGTAATGCTTATTTCAATTGGATTTAATTCAAACAGAACAAGTTAAACAAAATTGTATAAACCAGAGGCAAATGTTTTGTACAGATAATTCGTGAACGAAACAATTCCACGTACTGGTTGACTTTACGACATATATTAGTTATTATAAGAAAGAAGTTGTTATAAATATAAAAGTGAAAGGTAATTGACCACGAGTAGGAACTATAAACCCTGTGAAGTCCCCAAGCACTTCAGGCTATTAGTTCCGCTAAGAGCTCTTATAATACTTCATACATAGATTATAAAAATCCCCTACTGGACACCCTGTAGATTGCATTTGCTATTGCATTCAATATACTTCGTCTAACAACTGTTTGTTTGATTGTTTTTGAATAAATAATAAAAAAAATCATAACCAAATACAACTATTCCTGTTAGTATAGTCAAAGAAAAGTATAAAATTTCATGCCAAATACTGTTCTTTTATGTTTACAAAGTTTTTTAAATAAAGAGCGACGTCGGGTGAAATTATTAGTTTACAGTATCATAATCTGTTTTATAAACAATAACTGATAAACTTATTTAGCTTTGTGTGTAATAAATTTTTATAACTTTTATTTAAAGGTCACTTTTACATTTTATGCACTTTATATTATAGATTTTATTTGCTTGTTTTAACCTTTATGATAAGTGTAATAAAGAAAATCAGGGGAATTTTATTTATTCGTGGTAAATGGGTTTATTTTTATAAACGAATCAAATACTTTTCTTATTATTTTCTCTTTCTATTTTATTAGTATGGATTTTAAACTGTCTGTTCTGCATTACATATGCTATTTTGTAAGTAACGTAATTCAGAAAACTTTTCAAAGCAAAATAAATTATCATTTACGTTTCCAAGATTTTAAATTCACGTAGTTATCAAATACAGGAATAAAACTTCTTCGAATCTATATATTTCTGTCTCCGCGAAAAAACTCGTTTGTTATAAAAAGAAGTCTTTCTTTGAAACGGGAACACTATTAGTAAACATGTTTATATGTAGCATTTCTTCCCGACGGCGACGCGTCCGCGACACAAGAATGAAACAGGGACGAACTCAGTTTAAGATTATTAAATAGTAAAAACAATAATTCCCGAAAGGTTAATAAATGTTACAATATTTTAAAAAGTGAATTCTCAAATTCGTTTTTTAAATTAGTGGCTTTCAAATTCAATTAACTTGAAATTAAAAGTTTAGGAAATAATGTAAAAAACGAAAACTTTAATACATTTGTCGGCAATTTTTTTTTACATTTTTTAAATGTCTATTCTTTTCTCTTGTGTCGGAGGCAAGAGCCACTTTGAGTCGCTGCGCCAGCGGAGTAAGTATATTTTTTTTATAGTGCATTATTTCCTAACGTTCCAGTCCGCCCTTACGTCCCTCTGTGGTCTTGCGCATGAGTCATACAGTTTTTCTTCAACGAAGGCGCGCCGGAGGCGATCATTGAATTCGCAAGGGACACAGACTAAGAATAAACCAAGCGACTAGACAGATAACTAGTCATTGTTTATTTTACTTCTAGTAATGACTTTCGTTTTTAGGAATAGAATTAGTATTAATCATTCAAAGCCACACAAAAGCCTAGATCCAGAAACTCTATAAAGCACACGAACAGAGGGATTTTTTTAAAGTCGACTTTTCTAACAAAAGAGTTCTTTTCAAATTAGTAGTAATTAGTAAAGCTTTAATAAAAATAATTAAGCAAATAAAACGCTACCTCATTGTAATATCAAACTCAAATAGCTGTGTCAGAAAATACTTTCATGTTTCAATGAACAAAAATACATAGTCGACTATTGGTTTAAAACAGTCGATTATACAAAATTATTCATTACGCATTATTTAACTATCATGACAAATACGACACGTGTTTACAATCAGTTTTCGGGCACTCGTACGTGACAATTCTTTGAATTTTATAATCTTTGACCGAGTGCCGACCTGCCTAGTGTGTGGTCATGAGTCACACATTTCTCGAAGTGAATGCGATTACATCAATTTGGTAAGAGACGCACAGGTGAGTCACATAGGGTCGACCGTGCATTCTCACTGCCGAAACAGCTATACAAAAGCATATCGTCTTCTCAATATTTTCCAAGATAATGAATGAGTTGAGAATATGTTTTTGTACTTGTATTTCTGTGATTCAATTTCACAGTTATGTTGACAAAATGTCATACAATGCTTATCAATAATCACCTTATCAACTTACTGCAAACAATGATGAAAGATTGGGGATTTTCTACAAAATATTTAAGATAAAGGTTTAGTTATTTCGTAGTTTTTCCCTTTAAGGGCCAAGCAGATATTCTGAAAGTTGGCTAGCCAGTAATTAGTTTTACAATAATAAGTAATAGTGATTCAGGTAGTACTTTTTATTAATTGCCAAAAATTAAAACCTATCTTATGTAATTTCTGAGACATAAATTTCCGAATTCAATTTCAGGATTTAGTTCAAAATATATAGTTTTAGACATTATTAACTACCATCCTTTGGCGCTAATGACGTGCTTTCTTTACAAAGTCTAGTGTCATAATGAATGTGAGGGGACACAAACGTCGACATTTAAGTCAGGCTAGTGTTGAGTCAATACACTGGCTCATATCCGGATTTTCTTCCTAACGATAGTAACATACACAAAAATAAAATTATAATATATTATCTTCCCAGATTCTTAGTAATTTTAGGTGACTATTACATCAATATTGATATAGATTTACGTCTTTATGATAAGGAATCTTTGGTAATGTATTACGCTGCTTTTACTAGGAAGTAATAGACAAGACAGGAAACAGGAAGGAAGCTGTTATTAATGTGAATATAACAAGGAGAACTAGATGCAATTTATGGAGGTGTGACTTAGGGATTATTCTGAACTATGTATGAATATTATTAAATAGTAAATAATCTATATATATATAAAAGATAGTCGTGTTAGTTACACTATTTATAACTCAAGAACGGCTTTACCGATATGGCTGACAATTGGTGAGGAGGTAGCTTAAAGGAGACGGACATAGGATACTGTTTATTCATTTTTTTTCGAATTTATGCCTCGAAGAATTTCTTTTTATTTAACTTACTAATATTATAAATGCGAATGTTTAGTTGGATGTTATGTGGATGGATGGATGGGTGGGCTACACTAAATAAGTTTTTCTATATATCGCACGCGGACGGAGTCGCGTGCGATATTTAATATGTATATGAAACTAAGGTGGCAATGTTCAAACTAGTAACAACAAATTTGTGTATAGGTAATAAAAAATGCATCTTTTTTAATCGACTATAAAAAGGAGGAGGTTCTCAATTTGTCTATACCTTCAGTAGTTTCGACCCTGGTCATTATAATAGTTCTTTTTGAATTCATATACATAATTGATTAAAGCTTAGCTTTTTCGATATGATTTTCATTTGTTTTTACTTTTTTTTCTCCTTAATGTTTTTTTTACGCAAGTAACATATAAACGGGAATGTACTGCGCATTATCAAGTCTACTTATTCCTTGTAATACCAATTCTCTACTCGATTCTGCTGTGAATAATCGTCATTTACTCGCGTACTTTCCTCAATATTGTATTTCTTGAAATAAATACAAGAGACAAGATAAAATATATTTATAATGCTAAAATGTTCAAAAACAAAGACTTATTTTCTTTTGAAATAAAATTATTTCTGTGTATTATTAAACTGTTAATTCATTAAGTTACTTATTTTTACTACACAAAATGAGTTTTGATTCTAGTTTCTTAAATACATGCCATGTTTTGATGACAAATTATTATTCACGGTTCACTTTTATTAATTAATTATGTCATAATTATAACCTCAATCTCTACGGTAATGCCCCAAAATAATTAATGACAATTAAAAATGATAATTTTTGTGAACATACGCACGCATTGTTTATCTATTCATGTTTTCGTCAAACGAGTAAGATATGACGAACAACGTAATTTGGCACAACAACAGTTGCTAATTGGTAAAGACGTAATTGATATAATAACGGTTGCTAATTGATTAAGTTTATTTGGAACTAGCTGTCGCCCGCGAATCCGTCCGCGCGTAATTAAAAAAACACTTATATAGCCTATGTGTTCTTCCAGACTATGTTCTATATCTATGCCATATCAGCAAGATCCCTTAAGCCGTTCCGGAGATACCTTTAAACAAAATTCATTCATCCATCCATCCAAATAATTCCATATATAATATTGGCAAGAAGTAAGAGTAGTAAGATTCCTTACTTACAGGAGGTCAATATTTTAGAGGCTATATGGATGTAATATAATTTCAATATAACATTTCTAGACGTAACTGTAGCCGTTTTTAATAAGTTTAAAGTACAGGTTAATCAGACGATAAAAAAAAATCTTTGTCCTCTTTTAGATTCTACTAAGTAAATACTCCGTTGCAAAAATTTGGGGAATAACAATTTAATACCGTTTTTCGTATGAACGACCTGAAGAAATCACGGTCAATATTCTACGGTTTTCATCAATGAGTGACGCATCGCGCGGGGGAGATTACCGCGCGGCGCAAGCGGCGTGCACAATATAAGCCGAGCGCGTTCCTAATTCAAATCATTCACAAGCCAACGCTAGCTCAAGCTACAAGTGTACTAATTCTAAACAATCTTTTAACTCAAATAAAAAATGAAGAAGTACTCAGTTCTCGGTAACAAGAAGAAAGTGACGATGGAGACGAATGCAACCCGTCTCAAAGTCATCGGCAACAACTGCATCGTTCGGGTCACAACGAATCGAGGAGATATCGAAGTGATCGGCAACGATTGCCGCGTGGAAGTGAACGATAATTACGGTGTCATCAATCTAGTGGGTGGAAACGGAGTTGTAACGATAGGTAAACGATGGCGAGGCGATAAAGTGCAATTGGTAGGTCCTAACTGCCATACCTTGGTAGACGGGAAGGAAAAGCCGCAACAGTTCTACGAGGCCCAGCTGTCGCCATTTAGCAAGGACCTGGATGACGTCATCGATTCGATCTTCACCTTCGTTATGCGATGAAGATTTACTCAAGTGATAAAGTGCTTCAAAATTTGTACGGAACTGTTCCCTTGAAGGGAACGGAGAACTTTCAGTGCTTGCTATCGGTCGCCGCTTCAAATGCGAAGGAGGTCAGCGGCTTAACCCTTGCTAAGGGAGTTTTTGTGTACTTCTAATAAAAGAAATGTAAATGATTTCCTCGTTTAATTTACTTGATTTCATCCCACATTTGATTTGAATAGATTGACTACAATTGAGTAGCTCATTGTGTTAGAAGTAAATTTGGATTATTTTATATTGATTTCGAAGAACTCAGCAGTATGATGGCGCATTTTTTTTTCTTGCTTGCTAACCAATGCACAACATTAGTATTCAAAGAATTACTTATAAAATACATTGTTTACTTGCGTATTAACAAATTCACTTTATCAATTCATATCATGTATTGAATGAATGGATCTAAACTAGATTATGAATTTTTTTATCACATTTAATTTTTTATATTAACTCTTTTCGCTTCTTTTTATTAGCCCATCTCCTTTTTAATGGTTTTAACTAAAAAAAAAAATTATAATAGATTGTAATTAAAAAAACTAAAATTACGGCGATTAGGAAAAGCGTTTGCAATTTGTATGGATTTAAAATGACACTTCTTATTGCTTACTTGCGTGTAATAATTAATTTTAACAATTTCTTTTAACAACGTTAAGTGCTAACAACATTGGTTAAGTGAATAAAAAACAGTAGTGGCGCACCGTAGTGGTGTCAAATGAACAACGTCATCGCGCGCCGGCCAATAGGGTTTCCGAATAATATTAATGAAGTTATATGCAAGTGATGCGTAGACACAATTTAGATTACCTATATGTACTTCGAATATCAAAACAATGTAAATAAGTTCAATGTCCTATTATATTGTATCAATGAATTAACAGATCTTCGAAACATTTACATTGATTTCTTGATAATGACGTCAATAAGATGTGACGTACATTGATAACGTACGTGAGATATTAATAAACGTAGTTTTTTCTTGGATACAATTACGTATAATAAAGCGGTTATTTTACTTTTATTTTTTTTGTTTTTAAGAAGTTTTATAAAACAGAAGCACAGGCTATTAAAATTATTTCTAATCGTAATGCATTGTTGAATGAAATTCATGAGAATAAATAAATTAATTTTTGTTTGCTCTATTGGCTTCTGTTTTTTTTTTAATTCGTTTGTGTTATTAAAAAGATAATGTAAGTTTAAACCATAGATTATATAACAAAATTAGATTCATTCATTTTATAAATTTACTACTAAATTGTAAAGTAAAATTATGGTTGTTATTTCAAATTTATATTATTTTAAATGAATTTAAATTAAAGTATCAAAGTGTAAAATTCCGAGCGGACAGAGTCGCGGGCAACAGCTTATAAAACAGGTTTTACGTTTAAATTAAATTCAACGTATAAAATTGGGGGCGTTGAAAGTTCCTATTCGGCTATAAGTTTTTAATTAAGTCAAGGTGAAGTCATTTTTTTGTTACGTAAGCAGCGACCTCTCGCTCGGACTTCCCCTGCGACCTCTGATGTAGGATATCCTATATTATTAGAATTCTTATATATCAACCGGATCATCGTCGATTTAACCTTATGTATATTAAAGGTAGTATATAAAAGATTACATGTAGTATATTCAACTCATGTTAACTAATCAATTTTATCAGATTAAGTCGAATTATTGCTTACGTTAGGGTTATCGGGCGAACTCAATAACTAATGCTGAGATAAATTTTAAGTTTATTTAAATTATTTTGACCATTGACCAGGTTTATCTAGTTATATTGCTGTCTTTAGGTTAATTTAGAAGCTTATTATACAAATAAACTAATTCTAGCTATCGCCCACAGGCCCCGACAGCAGGATTTATAAAAGAACTTAGTGTGTTCTTAAAAACTGTGCTCTACATCTATGTCACATTTCAGTGAGATCTGTTTAGCGGTTCTAATGATACCTTCTAACAAATATCCATCCATCTACACATTCATATTTATAATATCAGTAAGATATTTTTACATTCAATAGGCTTCGAAACTAATGAACCGATTAGGAAAATTCCTTCTTTGTTTGGAAGTTACACTATTCCCGGATGACATAGGGTATATTTATATTATTCAACTACTAGTTTTGGACATTTAAAAATGGTATTAGATAGATTATTGGTTTGGTGGTATTTGATTTGTTGACACCGGTATTTATTAATTACAATCCTTTGGCGCGAATGGCGCGCTTAAATTACCAAATTCAAGTGTCAGAATGAATAGTGAGGGGACATAGATGTCGACATTTTAGTAAGGCTAGTGGTGTGTCAGTACACCGCCACAGTGTCGGATTTTCTTCCTAACAAATGTAGGCCAATGTCAAAGTGTACTGTACCTGTATGACTAATTAGTATGTTATTGTAGAAACATCTGACAAATTATGTCGTTTAAATTCCATATCACCTAAATAGTCATTATGCAAACATAATGTCTTAGTCATATATGACTTTACCTGAGGATACTTTAAAATAGCTTATCATTGTTGACGTATAAAGATATGATGTTATATTGTGTATGTATTTAATTTCTCAAATTTCTTCAAACTCCGCCCAAGAGTTAACGTTGCTCTATACAAACTTTGGACCCCTATTTTGAATCTTTATGGGATGAATTTCGTAAAATCCCTTCTTAGTGGACGCCAACTGTTAGGAAGAAATTCCGCAAATGTGGCAGTGTTCAATACTAGCCTTACTAAAATGTCGACGTTTGTGTCACTCACGTCACACGTTCACGTCACTATTCATTCGGACACTGGACTTTGTAACGAAAGCACGCATTCGCGTCCAAGGATTCTAATTATTAATGCCTATATAGTCTATCTTTTATACAGAGATATTGGTTTCAGAAAATCACGTTTAACAAATTACATAGTAAGTAAATATTTTTTAAGGAAATTCCTAAGAATTTATGTCCTATGTTTGTTAAATTGTCACTTTACAAAACACAGACTGTGTTTTCAAGTATAGATAAAAGCACGAGGTTATTTTGTTAGAAAACAAAACAGTTAGATAACAAACATAGATAAGTTCTTGTAATAAATTCTCTTTTATTTGCCTCTATTTTCTTAGACTTGGTGTAGTGTATGCATAAACGTAGTGTTGTTTGTCTCGAGCGTACACGCCATAAGTACATGCCGGAGAGAGGGGAGTCAGTCGATGTCAGACCTTTGAGCCGGCAACACGTGTCGGTACGTGAACGAGCCAAATATAGCACAACGAATGCTACACTTGGTAATAGAGAAATTTAACGTCTCTAATTATTAAAGAATATGTAATTCGCAATAGACAAACATTACGGAATGATTTTTTATGCAACATTCATATTATTACAACAAGACGGAGAACAGCATGTGTGGACTACCTACTAACTTACTATTCCATGACTTATTTCTCTACTAGGTGTCTAAAAAAACTTAATGAACTTAGCCTGTCTGTTCTTACTATGTTCTACATCTATGCTAAATTCAGCAAGATCCATACAGTTCTCGAGATACCTTCAAACAAACATCCATCCATCCATCCAAACATTCGCATTTATAATTTTAGTATGAAGTAAGATGAAAAAGGTTTAAAAAGTCAATAAAAAAATATGGTAGAGATCGATGTATTTAGCAAATGTTGTTCCATTGTTACGATAGAATTCAATTAAAAGTTCCAAAGGTATTATGTCTCCTTAATATTCTTATTTCAAAAAATGAAACGACCCTTTATTGTTATTGTTTTATTATTGCTCCTGTAAAGTCGTAAATATAATGTATTTAAATTTTACAGCTATTTTTAACGTGGGTTTCTAAGACCAAAATCGCTTGTTAAAACATATTGTCAAAGAAAGACAGGCATGATGAATATCAGAAGCCAACGTTTAACCAAGTAAATCTATTTAGCAATTTATATTAACAAAAAAGTTACGACCTACCTCTTCAAAATAAGTATATCCGTTTCTAATCTTGCTATTGACCTTTCCCGTAAAAAACATTGTTCGTCTATCGGTCGGGCAATAATTGTGTTATGTCACAATCAATATCACGTATCAGATCGTGATAATTTATTTATTATGTAAAGAACCCGTTATCTATCTTGCATAATATTACGCATAATGACTAAGCAGTTATAGTAGCTTGGCCTTCCCAAATAACATAATCTTTGCACCATCCGGATTGATGCAAGCAGGATTCATGTTGATTTCATTTGACTTTCGTCATCACGGTCATTTATTACAATTTAATTTTATTTCATAAATTAATTTGACCATTAAGGGGTGTTCCCAATTGAGCTTTTTTATATTATAAGGTGGCAAACGAGCGAGCGGCCACCTGAAATCGCTGATATAGCGAAGTGACCGTTGCCCATAGATATACGCAATTGCATAGGCGTTGCCTACCTTTAAACGACAGAGAAGAGGATGAAAGAAAATATATTCTCTTTCTATGCATCCTCTCATCTGGAAAGTCCACTTCCACTTCCCATCCTTTCCTTATAAGAAAATGGTGGGAGGGAAATAGGACTAAATTAGGCCTCCGGGACGCACAAAAGTAGTAAATAGTGAGTAAATCCCACCTGATTAATTGATTCAATGGGATTTTTTCCCATTGTCTGAATGATTCTATATATTCGAAACACCGTAAGTAACAATTATAGTATCTTCAACTTTTTATTAGAAATTGCGGATTTGTTTATAGCTGGCAGACGTGCAGTGAGATCTTTAATTAAAGAAGTTCGACGCATATGGAGAAACACATTAGAGGAACTGCAAAAAGGTTACATACTTACTCAAGAGGCTTAATACTTGATATTAAATATGTCGAAATATATTATTTCTTACCATATAAACAAACAACTTTTAAATTCAATACTTAGATTCTCCAAACATCAATCATAAAGCATCATTATGGGAACTAGACAAAAAACAAAAATTTTATGAGATAAAAGTATGAGAAATAAGTCTTGTCTTATGTTTTTTTTAATCATTATAAATGATTGTTATAAAAAAGCAAAAGGCGGAAGAAAACATTTACGTAAACACGATCTTTGAACGTTGTTAGATTAAAATCAGCTGACAATCGCCTCGTGGTCGCAATTACGTGGGAATCACCTGCGGGGATTATTT